ACCGGACAAGATAAGAAGCTGAAATTTTACAGGGATATTCTTAAACTATGTAGGAGTTGAAGGTTCCAAATTCAGCTGCGAGACACGTCTAATCCTCGCTTGTGCGCAAGCAAAATTTCACTTTTGGCATCCATTTTCACTTTGTAACCAGACTGAACAGGAAACGGAAATTCTGTAAAAAAATTACTGTCCATGTTCAAACCTGTAGGCATTAAATTAACTCCTACTTTCGCACTTACTTCGTAGATGTTCAATATGTTCAAACTGTGGCACTTTTCTCATGCTTCTTATTAATTAGACAACCAAAAAAGTAGAAAATTCTAGCTAATTTTTTACACCACTAAAAACGCAAAAGCTTTTTCAAAAATTCCTGGGTCTCATACGCAGATGTGGCAAACCTGAAGGTGCATTTTGCCGACAACAGTTTGTACAAAATTCTCAGTGATCATTCGTGATGGTTAAGTTCACACGCAACCCCACAGTATAACACCATGTTTTAGCTAATGCCCAATCTCCCCTTACATGCGAGAAAAAAACGATAACATTGCCAGTGTTCTTCCCTTCCTGTAAAGCAACAACCATTCGTGCTAATGACTTGACTGTTTCAAAATTTGCGCAGAAACGTGATCGCAGCGGCAACTTTGTTGTAATTTGGCTGATTTTTTCTCGGAAATTTAAAATTGTAGGCACTAAACGATGACAAAGACCAAGCATTTGTTTAATAAATCTTGAGCACTAAATGACATTCGTAAACTTTGCAGGCCGAGCTGAAGCGAGTTTACACTCAGTTACGAATGTACAAATTGAAAAATTTATATCAAGATAATCCTCATATTAGTAAGCGAAAGGGTGGGAAGAAGTCAAGCAGTGATAGAACGATTATCAAAAATCGGCGTATTTCAATACCTCCAACTAATTCCCCAAAGGTAAACTAAAATTTTTGGTGCTTATTTTTGCTAATTGCACTTCTGCATCTCAACTCTCGCCCCTCCTTCACTTCACAAATCCAGGACATTTTATTACGAATTCTGATGCGGTAGGCTGTTACCGAAATTGCCAAGATTGTCCGGACAACCAGTGTGTGCGGATCCGGTGTACAGAAATGCACCCATTTCTCCTCCTCTCGGATGCAAATGTGCTTGGCGCATTAACCATAACTTGGGCAGCCAATAAAACTCGGCTTGACCGGATCGGGAGCCAAGTTGTGATCGGTGAGGGAGGGGTAGGGTTACGACTTAAAGACGGGTAGGAGGGAAGTGAGGGTAAAAGTTGTGGTTTAGGCTTCGAAATTCGTGACGGAGAAGAAGTGGAGTTATCAGATGGGAAGGGACTGAGATTTTGCCTGAAAGTAAGAACTGGAAAAAGCGGCAAATTGTACAGTGGGATGTCCCTACTGGATTTTTTATGCTCAGCATGTAACTTAGTGTTAAGAGGTCAGCAGTCCTGAATGCACACCTAGAACCTTATCTAGACAAAAAAAGTGCGGTTTCCGGCAGGAGGTTGTGGTGCATTGAATATGTTCAAAAAAGATGTAACTGTAGCTTTTTCCAAGTCGACACTGGGAACACAACGGTGTTTTGCATCCCATCACAACTGATGCAAAAATGATGCAGACTGCCGGTAAATCCTAGTCTGCTTCTGTACTTCGTCGTTGGGCTTCTGCAGCATCTTGGTAAATTAATGAAAACTGTGTCGAAACATAAGTGATTCTGGTTTGGTACACAGTTTAATGACATTGGTTGGTTAGCCTTACAGTGATGCTTACTTATAAATGCAGCCGGAAAAAGTGGAGCACGACGGCTCGGAATACTTAGAGTTGCCGAGTCTGTAACTCGCCATATATCGATGATGGCAAATTTGCTGTCACTCCAACACCACGCTTAATGAGCTTGATCGGAATATATGAAAGAAATGAGAGAAAAATGAACCGCTTTTGGGAGCACAGCTTTGGGTATTGCGGCCGAACCAATACCTGAAAGCAGTAATGGGGAGAGCGGAAAAAGACTGTAACGTTTTTAAAATACGGTGACTACAAGATAGCTACAACAAGATCGAGGTGAACATATTCATGGACTCACTCCACACCTGAATACGACGCAAATCTTTTTTCGTAATTGTTATTTTGTAAGCAGGCTACGAATAGTCTGCATCACCTGAACTAGGAGGAGGACAAGAAGTGTGGCGCGGTGTCTTTCCTACCTGCCAAAAGCTGTTCTTCCACACTGCTTCTCCATTCATATAGCGGTTGAGAAGGCGAACGAACTCACTGCATTGCAGATTAAACGGGTGGATGAGGAGGAACGAAGTGATCTAACTGTCGAGTCGGCGCCGCACAATGTTTTCTTATCAACATACAAATTACAGTTGGAGCCTCATCAGTCGGTACGCGTGTAAAAAAAACATGTGAAAATGTCAGTGGCGTACTCTGAGTCTATAGAAAACCATACGTCCGTTGCTCCTCTGTCAGTGGTGCTCTTTTTTCTACTATATTAATGTTAGCCAAAAATTACAGATAATAAGTAAAAAGATTTAGTGTTGTCGATGACCTTTTTGAAAACAAACAGCCAACAGTCCATCCCTCAGTACGCCACTGATATATTTAAGCCGTCGGTCGTTGATTTGCTCGTACTCATTTCGGTTCACTTATTATGTGTTTTGGTGGTGGCCTAATTCAAAGTGAAGTTGTGTCCCACAATCTGAGAGGTGGTTCTCAAACTCTCCTAATCGTTTCCTTTCGCTTTTCATTCCAGCCGCACGATTTCGAAGCAAATGAAAGTGCCTGTGCCAGTTTTTTAATGCGTTTTTGCATCTTATGTAAATGCAAAAAAGGCATATTGTCAAAAGATTACTTTTGCGTCCATTTAAGTGTCTGTGTGCATATGTATGTGCATGTGTGTGTATGTGTTCGAAGGTAAATGAACTTTGCTACCCGCTTTCAACGCAACAGTTGGGGAGTTGGGTCTTTATTACAGGAGCATATTTTCACTCCAGGTGCCTCCTTTCCGTTTAAAATCAACGCTCACATACGCTTAGATGTCGCACATGAAGACCTGAAACGCGCATATTTTTTGGCGGATTACAGAACAACCGTTTCAACAGACACCTTTTTTCCCTCCCATGCAAAAAAAGAGACCAAAATACAATCAGTATAAGTGCAGATCTGCAGAGCAGCAACCATCCATACCGTTAACGATCTGATTACTTCAAATTTGGCAAAAAGCATGGTCGCACTGAGGAGCCTGACGCGACGCAATCTAGATTTTTTACTGGGAGGGGTCAGTAATGCGAGGAATGATGACACATTCTAAGACAAAAAATATTACCGAAGATTTTCGATCCCATCCCTGAAAGAATTCTTAGTTTTTAATTTAAAACTGGCAAAATGGCGCTTGTTTTTTCAGCTCGCCTGAAGCAAGAATGATTTCAGCT